AAACGTAGACACAAGGGCTTCAGAACTGCCGTCGTCCGCGGTGGGAAGCAGCGACAGGGTCACGCGGAGCCCTTTGGATCACGAGGACCACAGGACAACACAAGACAGGGATATATAACTTATTTCTAATGAAACACAATAGCTGGAGGTGCATGCTGTGTGGAAGTACACTGACTCTCTAAGATCGTGCACTTCATCAAAAGCACAGATGTTTTAATGCTTATATTTATAAACGTATCCTGTAATAAAGTAATGAACGATTATAAAAGGTCCCTCAGTGGCCGAGTTTTTATTACATTACATATTGCATAATTCTAAGACTGATTATATTAGATTTCATATAGATACACGGTGGGGGGCGTTTACAGGGGCGGGGCTAGCTGAAAGGTAGGCACATCTGTACGTATTAGGGGCTGTATTTTATAATTGCCCTGGTGCATGACCTATAAGCACGAGCTGACTTTGTACGTCACAATCTTTATCTGGCAAAACAGACCCAAAGCCAAGCTGTAAACATCTCTCCTCGGCGACCGGCGACCAGCCACCATAGCGCGCGGCCGGCCCGCGTAAACATGGATGAGTGCTTTCCGGATCCTTGCTTTAAATCCCACCCGTGGGCTCTGCTTGCCGTGTGCGGAGCCTTATCGCCATTTGCTCACACACTCGTCCTGATGAATAAACCCCGTACCTGCAGCCGAACGCGCCCATAGACAGATACGCGTTTACCAGGCAGCCCACGCCGCAGAGTGCCTCATGAATTAATTAATCCCGATTCCCTCTAGGTTCGGTGAACAGCTCGCCCCCTGTCGCGGTCCATTTATCGGCATCATATGGAAGGCTGACGAACGGAAGCAGCCCGATTTGCTCTTTGTCAACGAGAAGCCGGACGTCTGATTAATCCATTACCTTGTGAGACAACGTGAAGTAATCTAAAGTATTTCAGATTTAAGCTTTTGGAGAACAAACTATAATAGACTGGTATGACAGTCCTACACCTTCAACGGTAACCCAGGCTACAGCAACAACTCAAAAGCATGGAGGCTTAGCCAAAATGCTAATGCTACTGCTAATATTATGCTATGCATAGCTGGTTCATATGTTAATAAAAATTTAAATGGTGGTGTTAAACCATTAACGATAATTAGCATTTTAAGTCTACGGAGGCTTCCCCAGCAGGTGGTGGCGGGGGGGGGGGGGGGGTTGGTGTTGACACAATGCAGGTAATATGCACCAAGGCAGACTAATACGTTGACCAAATTAAACCTGTAATAAGCCTGCTGGAGTCTCCACAAAAATATGAGCTGATTTGCAGCAAATAGGATTACTGGAGCTTTTACGCAGCACGGCATTAACCTTGACGAGGGAGGGCGTGGCTTAAGGCCGGGATCCTCATTTGGCGGCATGTAATTGCCATATTAAAAACAGCTTCACAGCACGCTGGAGTGCAGAGCTAGGCTGTCGCAGGTGTATTCAGAGCAGCAGATCCACAAGCACCGCCAACCGCTCCGCCGGCATGCAAAGATGCCAAGTGGAAGAACACCTTCTCAGGATTAACAGCATCTGAAGAACCAATAAATGTTTAATGGTGTTTCGTAATGTTTCTTCAGGAGTGACCGCTGACGCTGCCCTCATTTCGCCTTGAATAATTGCCCAATGCGTGAAGAGTCCTTCCATCATTAGACAAAGAGCACGGGGCAGTTTTGTTTGCACGCTAACTTGATTATACAACAGCCTCATCAGGGTTAGAAGAACTTCACTGGACGGAGATTACGGGAGAGGGAGGCTGCCACTCCTCCGTAACGTGACCTCGCTGGAGGTTTCCAAGCCAAGAGGAAGGGGGCTGTGAAATCTGAGCAGCCCCCCCAGAAAACCCAGTGCACGATGGCCTTTATGCTATTACCATCCTGACATTAAAGGAGTGCCTAGATAGATCTAGACACAGTCCAAATGCAAGTTTTGGAAATGAGTTTTTCTCTCTCCCCCCAACGTGCCTTAGATGGGTGACAAAGCCTGGGCAATTCCAGTGTCAATTCCACTGCGATATTTTCTCTCCTCCCACAAACCTTCACAGGAGACTTAGCACCCACTGGGGAACCAGTTCAGTCGGAGGGTTCCAACTATACAAGAAGTCCCTGGAAATGCCCGAGCTGAACACTGATGTGTCCTCATTGTACCCCAGCCAACTTATTAAGTGACGGATCCAGCATCAGCTCTGGTCTCAGACGTACACAAGCAGCTCTTTAACATTAGGAGAATGCACATCCAATCACGTTGGGCGGCATTCAGCTGTTAGGGCTCCTTACTCCTCCGTGAAAACGTGCATAGCCCCAGCTAACTTCATTAGCGCGCTCCCGTGACACGCCAAAGCAGCGGCCAGCCGTCCGGGCCCCTCGGCTGCCACTGGACGAGGAACTTTTAGCATGAGGGGAGCCGGCCTATCAGAGCTGCCAGCGGGAGCCGGCCAATCTCCTCTCAGCGACTTGCGGTTGTTTCTTTCAAACGGCTTTGCTGATTAAAACCCTTCTGAGGTGATCCAGGGGTCATCGTTAGTGGGGGGGGGAGGGGGGCGCAGAACAAAGCAGCACCTGCGACAGAAGCCTCATGCCAGGCAGGATGAGGGTTACTGCAAAACTGGCCCTCGGAACGACGCCAATGAGCTACATCATATTTGCTCATTTACATCCCAATGAATATTTAAATATTCTGATGATCCTAGGAAAGTTTGGCCCCCGGTATTTACTCAAGCAGACAGAGTTCAGCATATAAGCACCCCAACGGCACATCAATGCCCTTAAGTAAACTCCGCAGGAAAGCATAACGCAAACGCTATGCGCCATTAGTCAGTCATTAATGCATTCGAATACATTACGCTTATTTAATTTCCAAAAACACTCCATTTGCCTCTCCAAAGCACTTCTCTTTGGGCGCCCAGACATAAAACGAAGAGGGTAGAGTAACCTTCAGAAAACAGTTTTGTAACTTGCCGCCAATGGGATAATTTAGCTAAACAGACTGAAGACGAATTCTGAGTCATGTGTTTGGGGGTTGAGGTGCTTATCAGCACTGTGTGGTTCTAGGGGTAGGGTTGGGTTAGGGTTCGATGTTTGAATGCAGCGTCCCCCCAGCTCCAGAAAGTCGACTCTTCGCTCTCGAGACACGGCTCAAGCTACCAGGATGGCCAAACCGAGGAGCCGCAGCCTGTCGGACATCACACCCGAAGCCGGCAGCAGATGTGCCTCAGGTGACATCGCACAGATGTTTATGTAAATAGGAGCATATCATGGAGACAGAGGCGGAGGGAATGAATATGCTAATAGGAAGCACCGTCCCTATAGACAGAACATCATGGATGTGTCCTTGAAGGTCAACTGCTTTGGGCCTCGTCATAAAAGGACACTCTGGGAAGTTTCACACCATGAAACAAATGCTGGAACGTGCAGCTCCCACTTCAAGCAAACCACCATCACATTCCCGCACCGATGGAGAAGAGAGACACCGTCTCGGGGTGCAGATGGGGATCATGGTGGGAATTACACTCATCATCGCGAGGTAGAGGCTGCGCCAACGCTCCCATAAATCACGACGGCATCCCGCTCGCAGTGAACACGCAGCTGCGATGGAGCGTGATCCGGCACGGTGTCTTCGCGCACACGTGCGAAACGTGTTCCCGCCGCAGCGCAGGTGCATGGGAGGAGTGATGCGTGCGATTACAGGAGGAGAGCACTGTGGTTTTTGCACGGTATAATCCCACAACCCCTTAAAACGACAAATACCAGGAGGTCAGAGCCCTATAGACATACATGACTAAGAACACAATCTGGCATCTCCAGTCAGCTGACCACCATCAACACGGACATCAGTCATACCACAAACATACTACAAACCTTCAGTTATCACTGTCCAAAATACCTGAATCTGTCAAGGGTCGACAATCACTGTGATGTATTGAACAAGGAAACAGAAAGGAAGGTTAAATAAATAGCACCCCTCTCTATATCAGCCAAGGCACTTGGGCAAAGAGCGGTAGGATGAAGAGACATCGACACACACCAAAGACCTTCCTCTCAGTATGAACGGCCGCGGCATAAACACACGACAGAGTAAGCAGTCGATTAAATCAGACCATCGGATTGTGAAAATACGTTCAATGCACCCAGCTTATCCCTCTCGTGAGCAAATGCACGACGGGACTCATTTTCCAGTGAAGCCCCTCTTTGAGCCAGACTCAGCCCTGATCGGATCACGGCCTGGATTGGGGGGGGGGGGGCTCTGCTCACAGAAATATAATTAATGTGAAAGGCTTGAGCCCGCACATGTCCTCCAAGCATGCCTCTGTGCATCATTGCACCCAGAGAGCTGAAAGACGATGATCGCTTTGGGTGCCATTAACCCTTAAAGACGACATGACGAGTTGGGGGGGGGGGTGTCCTCAGCGCCTGCCATCATATGCCTACATGCTATCCTGGCTGTGGGAATGTACCCATGTGCCCAATGTGCTCAAAGCCAGTAGTAATTCATTTCTAGAGGACATCACAAATTCAATTACAACTACTTACAATGCAAATTCCCGATATGAGAAATTCAGTTGTGCCTAGTTAAAATGTGAAGTTCTGGTATCAGAAATTTGACTAACTAGGTAAAATGCATATTGTTGATATAGGAAATTCGATTTTTAACTTGTTCTGAATCCCACTAAAACAATTTCCAGTATCAAGAATTGACATTATAACTTGCTATAACTGAATTTCTGATATCAAACTATTTGCATTCTAACTAGTTGTAATCGAACTTGTGATATCCTCTAAAAATAAAGCAAAGCTAAAACGGCTTGACATACACTTCTGCCCAAACAACCATTCAGGATGCAAATAAGACCCAGTGGCCCTCGTGGGACACAACTACTTATCCCCAGAGAAGAAGGCCAGCTGGCAGCCAGTGTCAACGTGCCCCCAGTAAAGGTGACCGACCTGAGCCAGGGACGAGTCGGTGCCCTTACTCACCCTCTTCCTCAGGTTGTACGTCAGCAGCAGGTTGCGGGAGAAGTGGTTGGAGAAGGCCGTGTAGAACTCCAGAACTTTCTGCAGGGCGTCGCGCTTGATGACATGGAGGTCACAGTACGTCAGGGCTCGCACGTTAGCGCAGGCCTGGGCGAGGGTCACTTCCTTCCAGAACACGTCGCCAAATACGTCCCCCTTCCCTGGAGGAAGGACAGGGCATCCTTGGTAAACTTTGCCAGTAGTGAGCAAAACCATAGACAAAAACTGTGCAATTAAACAAAACATGACAGCAAATGCATACTGTGTGGGAAAGAGTTCATCACATTCAGCCGTCTGCAAGGTTTCAAATGCACAAACGATGTCCAAAGCGAATAAAGAAAATTTATTCAAAATGACGCAAAGGCACAAGAAACAAGAAACCGTTGGCACCCTGGAAGGTTCTGGAGAATTAAGTCATAGTCATTGACCACCAGGGATACTAAAACTGTCACATTTACCCAGCATACCTACCAATACAAATTAAAGAACACCAAGCACACACACACACACACACACACACGCACACACACGCACACGCACACACACGCACACTTAGCGTTCAGGGAAAAATAAAATGCAGGCTTTATAAAGAGCGTCCCCCATCATCCAAAAGCCCCGCAGCTTATCTGAGCTGAAACTCACCTATTAATCTACCCTGAAGTCTCAGTCTTAAAAACGCATCAAGTTAATGAATTTACAGGCCCCCTTTAAATGCACATTAAAGCACTTTGGCTGCATTTGCATTGCTAATAGGAAGGGGAGAATGATTACCGTGTTCCCAGACTAGAAAGACGCCACCCTTAACCCAGCATCCGTACACTCAACACCGGCAGATCCTACGACATGGTTCTGGAAAGGTCTTTCGCCACTACAGTATAAACAACGTCGCTAGAATAATTTCACCCTCCTCACTAAGTACAGGCAGTGGCGTGCGAAGTGGTTTCACTTTGAGGAGGACCGATTTTGCCCTGGCGGGACCCCCCCCCACATCCCCCTTTTCATATACAGCCCAAAACAGAGTCGAGGATTATTTAGGAACTAGAACCCACATTTCTCGTGGCTTAAGTTGTCATATTCTCACATATTGGCCATTTTCTTGTGAACTCGGTGGGGAATACAGATCCGAGGGCTTCAGCAGACAGTAGGAAGGAGTTTTCCTCCTAATAGCTTTCGGTGGGGGGCACCGCTTGCACACCCTCAAATATGTATTATATAGGGTGATGTGTGTTTAGAATGGCTGAATAATCCCCCTGCGCACTCAGCCAAGCTTCATATGCTCCATCACAGCTGTACAGAGTCACTCATACTGAAGAACGTGCGATGCGTCACTTGACGTACAGCACAAGTGGTGGTGAAATCGGTCAAAGGCGCCACACAGGCTGAGGGGACCTCTTATCCTCACGGCGCAGCTACAGAGGAGGTGACACGCGGCCGGGGACGAGGTGTCACGGGGAATTAGCAGCCGCCGTGTCCCGGAGAGGAAAACCTGTCAGGAGGGCTGGAGGCTTGTGGCCACACGGAGGAAATCAGCCTCAGCTCTGTCATTCAAGCCGGAGGAGAAAGGAAAGCGAGCCTCTGATGATCTTCTTTCTTTGTTCATCTCTTTCTACTCCTTTTCCACCAAAAGGAGAACATGACGCAACACCAACCAGTCCCTCGGCCTGAAAAGTACTCTAGGACTTCAAAACCCAAAAGTGTGTCCCTCTGCAACAGAACCCAGCTGAGCCACCACATGGTAACACACCATTCCAAACTGCACGGCTACGGGATATACTTAACGGGCTGAAGAAATACATGAAAATGCAATTATTGCTTCCTACTGAAAAAGTTTTCAATAATTCATCTGCACATGGAAGGGGCTTTGAGACCACACGCTACAGGGTAAGTCCAATGGCCCCCCAGGCAGAAGGCTGCAGGGTCACAATGGTCATAACAGGGAGAGAAAATTGCCCCCAACAGCATTTGTATGAAGGTCTGAATGAAAGCGATTAGTCTGCTCTACCTGGAAAGGATTTCTACCCTGGCACAGTGGCACACTTGCACAGTATGACCCAGCATGGTCGAGGGCTCTCATGTAACGACAAGCTCCCAACTCCCAGCAAAACCAGAACGAACAACGTTGTGAAAACAGACAATCATCAACTCAACATTGTGACCCATCAGAAATTGGTCATCTTTATCATATTTACTGCCATATATGCAGTGCAACTAAGTAATGTATGGAAAACATTGGAGGATTATAAAGATGCCATTTCACGTGACAGGGGTGTCCCATGTCGACATTAAGCCCCGCATCTCTCGTTCTGGCCATCATACCGCTCTTCAGCGAAGGTAACCACACAAAAGGTTTGGTGGACGAGGCCTCGCCGGTCTGACTCACGCAGACATCTGTGCAAATAACATGCTCGGCAACGAGCGCGACCCACACCTTTCATCCTCTCACTATTATCACTCTTGACACCTTTCGCTTAAACAAACATTTCTGAGCAGGCAATGGGAAGGACACCGTCGGCGGGTCCTCTGAGGACAAGCAAGTTTGCATAGAAAAGTACAGCACCCAGGGATTTCAGGGCAACCCTGCACAATGCCATTCAAAAATAAAAACTCTCCTTTCAATTTTTTCTTTCTTTAGCTACAATGCAACATATGGGTAGTGCTAGGACATAGTTTTGAGCCTTTCTTTTTTAATGCAAATTTTCTTAATTGACTAAGTTTGCTCCAAGGAGAGACAGGGTTTGAAACCACTGTGAATAGGTATATTTCACTCCAGTTCAGCCACCCGTCCACTGACATCCTCAGGGATTGTTTACGCCAATGTAGAGCCCACTTTCTAACTGCATGAACCCCTTGGGAAGATAAATGAGAACGATAGACCATATTTTCACCATAACACAACAAAGCATCACCGACATCATCATAAATTTAAAAACAAGCGTCATTTCAAACAACCAATGCGCAAAACATTGACATTTCACAACAAAACAGGTCAAACAAATTGTCTCCCCCTATGGTGACCACTCTCTCCATGGCTGCAAATCTATCAACCCCCACCAAGAAAAGACAGCGGGCGATCTCTCATCTGTGTGAGGACTGGACTGGACTGGGACGCCTCCTAGTTGACCTCAGATAAATCACCCAGAAAATCTTTATCGATCCAGCTGAGGGGAAGCAAACAATGACACCAGTAACTTGCATTTTCACAGTCGTCCATCTTTTGCCCCCCCACTACCGGTGATATTTGAGCATCATTAAAAGATCACCTGATCCATCGTGACACCCTCCTGCAGGTGCTTCAGGGTAGTTGGGGAAAACTCAGCCACAACCCCGGTTCCATCCCCATTGTACGCAAGCTGACCTCCCAAAGAGCATGCCAGCACATTCTGCCCCCCCCCCCCCCAAAACTTAGTCTCTCACTCCTTCTGGCACAGAAGACCCTGGAACCCCTACTCCATAGTTTCCAATTTTCAACTGAAACCCTTAAGATTTGTGAAACCCTTGATATTTCTTTTTGTTCCCTATCGTCAACGACAGTGATAGAGTTCAGAACAACTGCTGAATAACAAATACCAATTTTAGGGGTGGGAGCAGCATTATAACATTTGTTAAATAAGTGAGAGGCTTGGTTGTCTGCAATTCTGCATGAAACATCTTACTTGTTGCAAGGAGCCTTTACCAGTGCAACAACAGCCGAGTTGATGTTGAGTAAATGCAACTTGAGTTGAGCACGAATTCATTTGTTCACGGATGTAGGAAAACAAGTCTTTGGATCATCGTTACCAAACACACTAAGTTGGTCTTGCAGGTGCAGAGCTCACACAAAGCTTACCCAAAATGGCGACGACTTCATCATCCTGGATGACCTCTAAGGACCCGGACACCACGAAGCACAGGCTGTCCACGCTCTCGCCTGCGTGGTATATGAGATCCCCAGGGGCACAGTGGATAGTCTGGAACTCCATGGCCAGAGCGCGCAGGCAGCCGTCACTGGCCAGCCGGAAGGCTGGGTGCTCCTTGAACACCTTCCTGTTCAGGTGCACACAGATGTCTGCCCGCATGTCCTTGGGACAAATCTGCAGTACCTGCAGGGGGTGACGGAGGGAAAGGGGAATGAGAGGGGAGTGAACAGGACCTGATCACCAGCGGAGCGAATTACGACAGCGTTCTTCTCACCCGGACGCCCATCACACCAAAGTGGCCCCATCACACCGATACCGAGCGTCACCTAGGAGACTGCAGTGACTCAGTGTGTGGGAACCACAGCCTTGGCTCTCACTAGAACATCAGCCTCTCCATTTCCCAGCAGATGCATGCCATCTAACACCTTTCAAAACCTCCTGTTTTGCCCCCCACTCTGTTCTGGGGACCCCCCAATATGAGTCATATTCTCATTTTGGCTCCCAGCAGTTACCATGGGTACCACTACAGAACAAAATCATCAAAAACAAGCTGGCATCTGAAAGCTTTCCAAAATGAAAAACCAACTTTTCAGTTATAACCGATTTTTTCCACTGCGTCCAAATACTCTTAGAGTATCAGAGAGGGAGCCATGGAATATTTTTCATGAAATTCCTATAATTCTACAACTGTTAGGGTTTTGACCATTTAGCACTATCGAGACCAACTGATTATGTATACATATTTACATTTGTGGAATCAATACTGCACATCCAGTACATAAAAAATGTTTATTTCAATGGCATAGATTATAGCAGTGTTTCTCAGTGTTTTGTCACTGTTGTTCCCCAAACTGGCAAACGCCTTTACTGAGCTGAACTTTCTGCAGTGGAAAACCGAAGAAAACTGGAACCTCACTGTAACTAGTAAGGCGGTACAGCTCAGTTCCTATATGTCAGTGGACAAGTGCCATTAGAGAAGTTACCTTTTCAGTGTCTATGCCTCTGGACATGGACCAGGTGGAGGCAATATAGTCCATGACCCTCTCACTCAGGCCCTTGGGCACCTGGTAGAGCTTCAGGAAGTCCCTCACGCTGTTCAGCATCTCGTGGTACCTGTTGGTGTTGGCGTACATCTGCTGAAAGATGGTGGTCACGTTACCAAAGATGGTGGCGTAGAGGAGAGCTGGAAGGACAGACAAACAGAAGAGTGAGGGGAGGCACTATGGAACACCCAACTCTACATCTCCAGACAGGTAATGCCAATGCGTCTCAGGTCTGCTTTCAGAACGACAAGTCGAGCGAGTGCTGGTTTGGGAAAAGGGCAGCATTTTAACAATCCTGACGTAACCATCACTGCACGGAAAAAAATAAACAACCATTGCTTAAAAACATATCTGTGAACGTTGCTTAGCACAACGGAAAAATCAATACAGAATATTTACCGAAATGTGAGAAAAGATTTTTATTCACCTGAACGGTTAAAAAAAAAAAAAAAAAAAAAAAAACAACATTTATCAACGAGTGTAAAATTGACACAGCACGACTAATTTGATAATACGGGGCAGTACATCTGACTCCTGGTTTGCTTAGTCTGTACACAGCGGGACACAATGGCTGCTTTGGTAGCTGGTACAAGTCACTCAACACCGTCTTTCCAAGAGCCTCAGGCAAGGTGTATACCCCCCATGTAAACTCGGCCGTGACACACGAGTGCTACAAAGGCATCAGCTAGCTTCCAGCTGTATGGCAAGGGGGGAGGGAATATGCAAACAGACCGAGATAATAGCAGGAGGACAGCAGATCAATACTGAAGCATGAGGGGGCGCCGGAACACACAACTCAGTGGCTGCCCGCTTACACAGAGGTGCTTACCTGCGACACCCGAGCAGTCCTTCCCCCCCACCCCCCAGAGCAGGTACTGCTCCACAGGATGGCAGCAAGGGCAGGAAATGGACTGTGTCCCACAAAAATAATTAACCATGTGACAGGACACCGGGCCACAGTGGCAGAGGAACGGCAGAGTAACGGCACCCGACAGATCCTGTCCGCCGGCATCACATCGGACGCCAACTTGCAGGAAGTGGCTCGGTGACACTGCTTATTTTGCAGAATTGGTGACATATTCGTGTCCTGGCCTGTAAAGGGCATGCTGACCGGCACTGTTCCAGAAATGGAATTTATCAGCACTAAAAGAAGTTCATACTGGCTTTGAATACAGACCCTCAATTCCCCAGTTCTGGTTCTGCTGATCTCAACCCCAGCTAGTCGATTCTCATTTAACTAAAGCGAGAAACAAGGGGTTCAGCAGACGACAACAGGGACACATCCAGCGCACAGGGGGCGTGTTTCCGGTGTGTCCGCGGGGAATCTGGCCCCAGGGCGTCACTGCAGCACATTTACAGGTAAGAGAGGGTGTTCTCCAGCATGTCACAGCGCTCCGTGCAGGACATGCACTCATCAGCCAGGAATTAAACCATCCGCAGCACAAACCAGGCTCTTATAAGGTTCAGAACTGCTACCAGGATTCACTCAAATCTTTACATTCAACCATTTTCAATGCATCTCACTAAAAGGCCCAGCATGGTGGTATAAACACACAATCCTGCCATATTCCTAAGCTCCTAAAAGCTGGACATCCTATTAGCGAAGAAACTGCAAGGATTTCCCCTCCAAGCCATGGGAGCATTTTTGAGGTGTTGATTATAACTATTTCCAGAAATGTTACTGGAACAGTTCAGGTTAAAGACCTAAGGGCACTACTAACGACTCCTCCCCAGCGGAGAATCAAGGGGAGGCAGCTGAGAGAACCATCAGCAATCCTTACGGGGGCCTTTATCAGAGGCTGGCCTCTACGGTGCACCCCCCACCCCCACAGGCACACAGATAAGGCCTGCTGTGTGTTAAATGGGCCTTATCTGGCTCTCCAGGGGAAGCAGAGTGAGGGGGAGGGAGGCACAGCACCATATCCTCTTCCCTGTCTAGGCAGGACCCCCCCCCCCCGGTCCTGTGTACCAGCTGGGCTCAGCACCCCTCACGCTTTGACACTCCCGGCCTCATTAAATCTGCCGGATCATCGGAGGTACGACGTCGTCCCTGACAGACGGGGGTCAGGATGTTGACACAATAATTCACATCAGCATGGATTTTCCGGGAGGGGGCCGCTGTCAGCAGCTTTTATTTAGGAGAAAGTGTCTACGGATCACAACGAAATAAACTAAGGAATAGCCAGAGGCATCAAAGCCCCTCTTCTCCGTAAATCCCGGCATTCAAAATCCTGCCCGCGTGAGCTCTCTGCCCACGATAAACTTAAAATCCTTCTAGCGCCCCCCCCCAAAAGTGAGAGAGGCGCATCCTGTAGGATTAACGGAGACAGGTGAGGCTGGTCGCACCTGCTCCTCTGTGGGATGGCCGACACAACGTGCGACTGTCTGAAGCAGAGTGTCCGTTGTGCTAATCCGTTTAGCATTGACGGAGCAGACTTGGGCCCCGTTATCTCCAAAGGGGACGCAATTCCGCGCTAACGCCGTGTTCCGGACTCCTCAGACGACTCCCACCGGCGGAAATTCCATTCGGCGCACCAAAACCAGGCCCTAACTCGATTTTCCTCACTTTCAGAAAAGGACGGCTTTAACATCTATCGATTCCCCGCCCTACCCCCCTCGTAACCCAATCTGCCGTTTTTTTCCCTTGCGCAGAAACGATCCAGCAATAAGACAGTGTACCTGCCTTTTGTTGACCATTGGTTTTTCACGGTAACATTCCAATACACGGTAAAAACTGCCCAAGTTGACTTTGCGTGGAATGTTGCTCAGTAGTAGTGGTTATCGTTATAAAGCTAGTTTCCTAATGCGGGAGTACGACAGCAGGGTAACGGTAGGGATTTGAAAATGCAAGCCATGTACGATTCTACAGAGTCCACAGAGCGCAAGGACAGCTGGAAGAAAAAGATGCTGGCAAATGTGCTTTATCACTGGACTTTGTATGAGCAGAAAGACTGCATACTGAACAAGGACTATGATGGTGACGTCTAATGAGGAGACGCCTTGCTAGAGAGCAATCAGGTGTAAGGCTAATCCCTGAACAGTACAGAGGGGCTCGCCCTGACTTCTGCTGTGGTCCAAGGTACAAGGAACAGAGGGAGAATGCACCCAGGAGCATTCTGACAACATAACCATGGTAACCATGACTGGCAAAGCAAAAAATAAAACAATCACGAAAACAGGCCACTACCAAAGCAAATCAGAATCGCTAATAGGCAAACAGAAACATTCATTTTGACTTGTTAACATGAAGAACCCTCCTTTAGTCAGGCTGGTAATCTGGGTGCACACAGGTTCTGCTCTTAATTGTAGCTGCTCCAATTGTAGCTGTTTCGTGATTAATACCTGCACAATTGGCTCCTTAAATCAGTTTTTACTCAGCTGATTAGCCGAGGGAGCCCTTCTTGAAGCTGGGGGGAGGGGCATCTTCGCTCGGTACCAGTGCTGCCTTCAAGGCTGGTGATGTGTCCGTCGTTTGCCATCTGCTGCAGTCAGTGAAGACCTCAGAACTCTGGTCGGAGTTGAAAGTGATCAAAACGGGAGAGACGGACACGCGCCGAGTTATGTTGGGACACGAGGAAGCCCAGAGGATGACGGACAGTATACACTGTGCAGGCATACGGACAGCGGCTGCTTTGTGACGGAAGGGCCCACTGTCCTCATTTTGATTTTACATCAAGGGCCTCGTTAGCCAATGGAGGATGGAGTCAGCAGGCCAAAAACCAGCCAAGCATCGTGAACGGATGGGACAAGGACTGGAAGACAGGCAGCTTTACTTAAGCAGCTCGCAGTTACCTGCACCAGAGGCCAACAATATTGGCAGATCTGGGAGAACGCATATAATTATCTTCCGCAAGACTGGCTAAATCAATGTATAATTGTAGCAGAGGGCTAAACACTGTAATTAAAATATGGAGAGTAATTATCTCTCTGGAATTACAGCCCGGCAATCTAACAGGTCTCCGCAAAACTGAGAATGACCTGGAATATGCCAAATGCAGATTTAATTTAAAAAAATGTTTAAAAAAAAAACAGCGAGCAGCCCACACAGCGCAGGCCATTTCTGAGTTGTCGCGTTTCCAGAACGTGCCGTGAGAACACCACGAGCCGATCGGTTTCTCCAGAGAAACAACCTTTTGGGATTTAGAAAGGCATGCCTTTGGAAAGTTAAAATTCATGTACAATATAATGGAAATAATGGAAGCGCCAGAGAACAGAGCTAGAGTGTGAATTAGGGAACCTTCTTGCGTGAGTAAACAGGACGACAAACTCAGCACCGAAGCTTTCCAGATACAGAGCTGACAGTGCCGACTGCTGTATCGGATACAGATACTGATCAGACACAGTAGGTCGGTAGGTTCCCAAAGATGTCACCCCCCCGCCTCTCCACCGACGAGGGGCAGGCTAGCTCTGTGCCACCCAGGAAAGGCTGCTTCTTAAAAGAAAAGAAAACCACAGGCTGCACGGTTTACAGCCCAGACCAAAAGGCTGTCCAGTGCTTACACACGCCAGGTCGTGGCCTTTGGCTTCCAGAAGCATCTGACAGAATGTATAATGAGACCCCCCCCCCC